CTGTGCTGAGGTTTTGTTTGTCACCACAGAGAGGTAGTAAGATTTAGATTAGAGCATGGGCTCTGGGCCCAGATTTGTCTGTCATTAGCTGGGTGACTTTGAGTAAGTTACTTTACCTCTCTGTGCCTGAGGCTGGGCCTGGAGGTCATCTCTAAAATAGAGACGGATGCATTTAACAAATGTTTAGTAGGTACTTTCCCAGGGAATGAAGCACTTAATAAAATTAACAAAAGTCTCTAGTTCCGGGGGTTTATGAAGGGATGGGAGTGTCAGACTCAACAAATAAACAAGTAACTATATGGTGGGCAGATGGTGATAAGTACTATGGAGATCAGTCAAGATAGAAACAAAAAGGAAGATGGAGGTGTGAAGCGGGTGCTGTCTGCAGAGAGTGGCCAAGAAAGGCTTGTCTGATAAGATGTTTGGGGTGAGGTGCAGTGGCTCCTGCCTGTAGTCTCAGCCCTTTGGGAGGCTGAGGCAGCAGGATTGCTTGAGCCCAGGAGGTTGACACCAGCCTGAGCAACATAGTGACACCCCTTCTCTACCAAAAAAAAAAAAAAAATCAAAAAATTAACCAGATGTGATGGTGCATGTCTGTAGTCCCAGCTACATTGGGGACTGAGGTAGGAGGACCACTTGAGCCCAGGAGGTCAAAGCAGTAGTGAAATATGATTGCAACACTGCATGTCAGCCTGGATGACAGAGCAAGACCCTATCTTTAAAAAAAAAAAAAAGGCAAGATGTTTGCCCTTCTTGTGCATGTGTGTGTGCATGTGTAGGAAATAGTTGGGGAAAATAACTTAAGTAATACTCTACAGCAGTTAAAAAAAGAATAATGTAAGTGTATTCATACATATGCACACACAAAGATCTCTAAGATGTAATTATTGACTGAAAAAATTAAGATGTTGAAACACTTGATTTCCCCCAGCTCTGAATGCCATGGAGTCCACAGAGCCACAGACAGCGGGTGGAGGACCCAGGGATCAAGCCTGAGGGGCTCAGCTGCTGAGGCTCCTGCCATAGACATCCCCCTCCATGAAGGAGCGAATGCCATGCCTTCTGTCTAGCCAACAGCATCTTCCAACCCAGCTCCAGTCAGGTTTTGCTCTCTCACCTCCTTGAAGATATACTGATTTGAAAACAAAATAAATCAAAAGAGCTTCCCGCACCTCCTGGCCCCAGCCTGTGATAAGCCATGGAGAGCAATGCATGAATACGAGTTACAAAGTGAAGTCCTAGGGGCTTTAGCCAGCTACAGATTTCACCCACAGGGTGTTTCAAATATTTTTGAAGTTATTGCCTACATCCAAAATTCAGAAACTTTCATTATATTCAAAGTCCAAAAATTAATTTGGTAGCACTGAACCCACCCTCCCACAATACAACAGCAAGTGGATGCTAAGGGAGAGCTGGCCCATTTATTTAGGGAAGGCACCCTCCCATTGACCCATCCCCACTGCTTAGAAACCACCTAGTCCAAGGATAAGCCCAGTGGCTCACTCTTGTAATCCCAGCACTGTGCGAGGCTGAGGCAGGCAGATCTCCTGAGGCCAGAAGTTTGAGACTAGCCGGGCCAACATGGTGAAACCCTGTCTCTACTAAAAATACAAAAATTAGCCAAGTGTGGTGGTGCACGCCTGTAATTCTAGCTACTTGGGAGGCTGAGGCATGAGAATTGCTTAAACCCTGGAGGCAGAGGTTGCAGTGAGCCAAAATCGCGCCACTGAACTCCAGCCTGGGCGACAGAGTGAGAGCTTGTCTTAAAATAAAATAAACTAACCACCTAGTCCAATCTCCTCATAGATGATAATCTTGCTGCTCAGACAGGTGAGAAGACTCACACAGCAAGCCAGAGCCATTCCAGAACTACCACTACCACTCAGTAGTCCTCCCACAAAGACCTATGTCCCTTCTTCCTGCCAGGCTGCACTCCTTCTTCTTTAGGATCAATTACAGCCTTAGAAAGTAGATGATCCAGCTTGACATTGGGTGATATGGGGCTAGAGCAAGGCCCCGAGGATGACCCTGGGTCCAAAGCACCTTGGGGAGAAGCGGTGTTCTTGTACTGCATGATGGTCCAAACACATTGCAACACCATCACCATAATTAGCCCAGGCCTGGTCATCGGGACGACTCTTGCTCAATATTATTCTTTGCTTCTTAGTTTCTACATCCAGAGAAACAATACTTCTCTAAAAATCAATTGCCCCAGCAAACCACCTACCCAGTTCTTGGAAAACATGGGTTAAACATTCTGCCTTACAAAAAAAACAGGGAACAAAGAGAGTGAGGGAAATTCATCACCATGGTCCTGCACCTCACATTATTCACACCAAGTGTGTTTCAAGTCACCAAGTTCAAATGACCCTGTCCCTTGGGGCTGCAAAACTATTTGTACCAACATTTGCCAGTAAGGAAGCTTCATATGCTTTAATAAACGGGATTACTCAGTACCAAGGGATGCTAAATAGCTTCAAGAGACTGGAGGTTAGGGGAACTGAGAATAGCCTGGAAGGAAGATGCTGGAATAATCAATTTCTGACACAGGAGAAGGAGCGACTGGATGTCAGTCTGCTGCCCAGAACACTGGAGGGACTGTGACACAGGAACTGCAAAGCATCAGTCAAATAAATAGGTGGCCTCATGAGAATCCCTCCCAAACTTCCAGAAAAAGTAAGGAGAGAGATGGCTCTCCATGATGACATCAAACTGTTTTAAGAAGAGGTAGCATCTAGTAATGTGGGATGCTTGACACATAGCTAGTGTTCAGCAACCTCTATACACACACACACACACACACCCCACACACACATTAACACACACAAAATACACACACATTCACCAAACACACATGCACACCACACACATGCATATACACACACACACAAACATACACACATGCACACAAACACATATGTACACACACAAGCACAAACATATACAAACACACAAGCACAACACATTAACACAAGCATAAACACACATGCACAAACATGTGCATGAACACAGGCCCACAACACACAAACACACACATAAACACATGCAAACAACATACACGAGCACAAGCACAAAACACACAGGCAGAAACACATGCATGTACAAGCCAAAACACACATGCACACACATGCACATATACACAATCACACACAAGCACACACATGCACACAAACCCAAGCACAAGACGCAAACGCAAAAGCATAAACACAAGTATACAAACATGCAAACAAACACACACAAGTATAAAACGCACATATACAAGCACAACCACATATATGCACAAACATATACACACAAACACAAGCACAAAACACACAAACACATGCACACAAACAATACACATACAAATACACAAGAACAAATGTACATACACAAACACACAAGTACAAACACACACAAAAACACACATGCAAAAGCACAAACACATACAAACACATAAGCACTCACACACCAACACATACAACACACATAAAATACACACAAACATACACACATAATTTCTGAATCTCTTAACCTGTGCTGTGCAGCCCGTGGACCTGCCCATCTCTGCCCACGATGGCCTCTTGATGATCACACTCATATTTAAGGCTTACATAACTTACAAATCCTAATCCAAATATCCATTTTGGCATAAGTTTTGGATATCCAAATGTATCCCTTTATTCCATGTGTAGGACTTTCATGAAAAACAGAATCAGTGGGATGTGCGTATATGTAAAGAGAGAGACAGAGAGAGATTTTAAGGAATTGGCTCATGTGATTATGGAGGCTGGCAAGTCCAAACTCTGCAGGGCAGGCCAGCAAGCTGGAGCCCCAGGAAGAGCTGATACTGCAGCTTGAGTCCAAAGGTAGTGTGAAGCCAGAATTCCCACTTCCCACTTCCTCAGTCTTTTTACTCTTAAACCCTTCAACTCACTTTTACATGGTTGGTGGGAGTGTAAATTAGTTCAACCATTGTGGAAGACAGTGTGGCGATTCCTCAAGGACCTAGAAATAGAAATTCTATTTGACCCAGTAATCCCATTACTGGGTATATATCCAAAGGATTGTAAATCTTTCTGTTATAAGGATACATGCACACGAATGTTCATTGCAGCACTGTTTACAATAGCAAAGACCTGGAACCAACCCAAATGCCGATTGATGATAGACTGGACAGGGAAAATGTGGCACATATACACCATGGAATACTATGCAGCCATCAAAAATGATGAGTTCATGTACTTTGCAGGGACATGGATGAACCTGGGAACCATCATTCTCAGCAAACTGACACAAGAACAGAAAATCAAACACCGCATGTTCTCTCATAGGCGGGTGTTGAACAATGAGAACACATGGACACAGGGAGGGGAGCATCACACACTGGGGTCTGTCGGGGGGGAAATAGGGGAGGAACAGTGGGGGGTGGGGAGTTGGGGAGAGATAGCATGGGGAGAAATGCCAGATATAGGTGATGGAGAGGAAGGCAGCAAATCACACTGCCATGTGTGTACCTATGCAACAATCTTGCCTGTTCTTCACATGTACCCCAAAACCTAAAACGCAATTTTTTTAAAAAACCCTTCAACTGATGGGATGAGGCCTGTTCACATTGTGAAGGGTAATGTCTCTTCCTCAGTGTCTATTGATTTAGATGTTAACCTCATTCAAAACATACTCCCTGATGATATCTAAACTGGTGTTTGATCACATGTCTGAGTGTCACGGCCTGGTCATGTGAACACTGTGGATCTGTACATGCAGCTGCCTCCTCACTGCCTCCACTTGGCCGTCTGACCAACATCTCAAACATAACAACTCCGTCTCTATGCAAAAAGCAAACAAACAAATAGGCACTCCTGCTCAAGCTGAGGATTCCCCCATATTAATATATGGAAACTTCATTCTGTAGTTACAGGAGATAAACAACAATTGGGATTATATTTCTTTGCCGCCCCATAGCCAATCCACCAGCGAATCTTACCTTTGAGATATATCTGAATCTGATCAGGTCTCACCGTCTCCTCTGCTTGCCCCAGGCCAGGATTCCTGCCACACGCTGGATTTCCACAACAGCCTCCTGATCGGCCTGTCTTTCCACCTTTGCCACTTCCAGCCCACTTTCAACACAGCAGCCAGAAGGATCTGAGTAAAATGCAAATCAGAATCTTTTAAAAATTTCCAATGGTCCCCTCTCAACAGAGAAAGAGCCCAAGTGCTTACCAAGACTCCCTCTGAGCCATATCATCCCTGTCTTTTTTGCTCTTTGTGGCTAGACTCTCTTCCCCGCCACCATTCTCCCTGAGGTATGGCTGCCCATCCCTCATGCCCAGATGGGGCATTTCCTGAAACCCACCCAGCTACAAGGAGAAGCAGCACCCACCAGGGCCTTAGAGGCTGAGCAAGGGCCATTTAGGGCATTCTCTTGAGGACAACAGGAGGGGAGGGAGGCAGCAATGAAAGGTACTAACTAGAGGAGAGGTGGGCACAGGGTAGAATTCGTCTCTTTGGAGGATTCCCCAAGGCAGCTGGTGTGGATTGTTCTCTGAACCGTATTTTAAAAGAGAAGAATTGAGTGACTGCCAGGTAAGGAAAGGTGGCAGGAGGGAGGAAGAGGGAAAGGAGGAGAGGCAGGAACCTGAGCAGGTGCTTTGCAACCTCCATGAACTCCCCTGCCAAGTGGCTACTATTTCACATAGCAACAGTCACGGACTCACAGGGAACAAAGGCAGAAAGAAGAAACGGTGTTTGATTGTGGCCAGGAGGAAGAAAGCCTTCCAGTGGCCAAGAGGAGGGACACCCAGTGCTGAGTAGGTTGGCTTGGCAAATGCAGCTGATCCGTCTCTCCCCTCCTCCTGCCTCCCTTCCCTCCCTCAGACAGGACCTAAGCACAAAGACACAATGGCTGCAAGGTCCCTTCTGTGTTCTGACAACTTGGCTTCAGACATCTGGAAAGGGAGAGAGGAACTATCATCTCTCCTACTGCAGAACATTAAATCTCCTTCTGAAGACCTGCCCAGCTCTCAAACTCAGCAGGGTGCTTTGTCCACCACGACAGGTTCAAGGTAGCTATAGGGCCTCCTCTCACTGAATCTAGTGAGATGGGGCTGCTCTGCTTCTCAGAACCCCTCTTAATTAGTAAGACACAACCTACTGCAGAGAGTATTTTTGCAAGCAATAAAAGATTGCGTCCCCAAGGAGTCAAGTAACAGGAACCGGGCCCTGTCAATGAATCTGCTAAATGACCCTGAAGGGGCCAAGTGGAAGCTGTGCGACAGGCAGAGCTGGGAAATGGGTGGCTTGATCATTTACAGGGGCTTGTTACTCCGGAGACCAGCACCCTCAAGCCCATTCACGTGCCACACCTCCCTCTTAGCACTTATCACTGCTGGAAATGACATTCTTTCTTTCTTAGCCTCCCTCACTTGGCTACAGACCCCATTAGGACCATGGCTGCATCTGCTGTTCACCACGGCAACCTCGCATCCAGGGAAGTGCCAGGCATGTGGTGATCACTGAATAAATACATGCTGAATAATGACACCGCTCACGCCAAAAGGGGACAAGACAGGACAGAGGCTACCGTCTCATCTCAGGGAGTCAGTCTCCCTCTGCCTCCCTCTAATAAGGAACCACTTATCAGTAACTGTTTGTGATAACTTTGGGTCTACCTGAGAAATTCAACATACTCTTCCCATCTCAAGACCCTTAACTTAATCACATCGACAAAGTCCTTTTTGCCAATGAGGTAACAGTCAAAGGTCTCAGGGAGTGTGGTCATCTTTGGGGGGCTGCTGTCCAGCGGATCAGATGTGCTGACTTGTCTGTGCTCTGCACTGATTTACTCATCATCACATTGCCAGCACCTAGCAAGGCTCCTTAAATGCAGGAGAGAAGAAGGGTAGGAACAAAAGCATTCCATCCCCTCGCCCCCCACAGAGTGTGAAAGCAGAGAGAGACAGGCTCAAGTCCAAGGAAGTCTGAGCAGACACATGCATATCTACTGGGAACCCTTAGAAATTGCAAGGTGTCAGCGCCTCATTGGCTTGAGGTTGGAAGTCCCCAGTGAGTCATGTGTTTGTTTTCCTAACCCTGTGTGTTCCCACAGCTATTGCAGCCCAAACAGCAGGCCCACAAGCAGCAGGCAGCTCCACTCCTGCCAATTTCCTGGGAACCCAGGCGGGGCTAGAGTAGCCAACAGGTTTACTGCTGTGCCGTGGTGAAGGCACTTTTCCTGCATGACAGTAAACAAAGCCAGACAGAAGAGAAGCCTGCAAATAACTGGATCCTTGCCACAGATGCTTTTATTGCCCCCTACCCCTGCCCAGCACATGATATTATGAGCAGTTGCTTTTCAGGCTAAATAAAATAGCCATAATAGCTACTGCTCATGCCAGCACTTTGCAAATATAATCTCTGTTCTTTTCAGCATATGAGGCAAAGCAAGTGTTTTTTCTGTTCATTTCACAGATGGGGAAACCGTGGCAAAGGCAGCTGCAAAGTAACTTACTCAAAGTCCCCTGCTGGGAAAAGGCAGAGCAAGGATGCAAATCTCAATCTGTCAGACTCTAAGGTAGAGCTCTTTCAGCTTTGACACACATTTGCCAGGGGTGAAGAATAAACTGTGTATATGGAGCTACTAGTCCTGTCTGTGCTGTGACAGAGCCAGGTGTTCTGGCTTCCAAGCCAGAGCTGAGTGATCTGGAGTCCAAGCTCCCTGCTGAACTAAGGGCGACCCTGCCTGTACCGACATTTGTTCCATTTTGCACGTGCATGTTTAGCTTCCATGCCGTGTTTGACACTGCAGTAGGCACAGAGGACACAGAGACAAATAAAGGAGCCACGGTCACTGCCTTCAAATGGCTCAGTGGACAAACACACAAAGAGAGAAGCCAGGACAGCACAGTAAGCGTGTTCTAGGTCAGAACAAAGCCCTGGAAGTGTGATGTTCCAGAATGGAGAGTCCAGGTAGTGAGAAGAGTCTTGTGGGAAACGGGCTTCTTCCCCCAGATCCAGAAGGATGAACAGTTTTCCAGGAGGAAGAGAATACCGGTCCTTGCAGAGAAAAGGGCATCGTCCTTCTAAACCTTTAGTTCACTGGGAAAAATAAGTACACTCCTGGGTTGATGTTTGACATAGAATAAGTGTAGAGAGGGAAAGAGGGAGAAGAGGAGGAGAAAAAAGAGGGAGTGAGGGAGGAAGAGAACATCTTGTTTCTATCTCCCCCCATTCAAAGCTCTGCCCTGTGCTTTTGTTAGGCTAAAGGTCAAGGCAAAAAAAAAAGTGCAGATGGTACCACCTGTAAGCTCACAGCTCACCAGGTTGAGGAGGTGGCTGGCAAAGCAGCTGGATTCCCAGCCTTCTGACTTTGGCCACCCAGGAATCACTTTCAGACGGGTCTCCTTGACACGGGAAAGTAAGCAAAAGTGTGGAGGGGGGCTCAGGCAGGCAAGGGAAGAAAAGTATTCCTAAGGGAGTGGATTCAGGATACAGGCCAAAGACTTAATTTGGCATCTGGACTCCCTGGGGCTGTGCCATGGCAAAGGGGGACAAAGGAGAAGGGGAAAGAGCTCCAGCTACGCAAGGAGGAATGCCTTACTTCAAGGCCATTGCCAAATTCAGAGCCCCAAGGCAGTTTTAGTTCTCAAGGCTGGACATTTCTCTGAACCTGTGAGGCCCCAGCCTGCACACTATGGCTAATTTATACTCAGGGGCCTCATTTCTCCATGACCTATCTCAAAAGACCTTCCTCTGAAGACTCCAAAGATTTCACGAAAAATCCTCTGCTATGTTCTAGCCCATGGCATGACCACCCAGGGAGAAGCCTGTGGGAAGCCTGTGGCTCTATCAACCTGGGGAAAAAGAGGTTACAATTTCTTTCTCTTAAAGCTTCTTTTCCTTTCAGCCTCCAGCACCCAAGCAACACTGTGAGGGAGAATTGACTGCAAGAGTCACAGAAGTCTGACCTGGGCACAGGTGTGGGTACACTCACACACACACACACACACACATACACTCGCATGCACACACACAGGTGCACACACACACACATGCACACACACATGCACGCACGCACACACACACACACACACACACACGAACCAGGCAGGTGACATTCCAATGCTGGATGAGCCACTGTTCCATTAAGCAATCTCGATAAAGCCCCCTGGTCCCATAGAGCTTCAGAGAGTCACACCACCGACCTCCTTAAGTGGACTGTTGGGTATTCAGTCATTGTTAGTCTCTCCTTTTTTCTAATGATGCAATTATTTTTAAGTAAGGGTGACAGCAAAGCTCAGAGAAGTCTGAGGACACGTGAGATGACATTACCTGTGATCAAGTGCATACAGCTCCTAACTCCTCGCCCCACCTGCACCCTCACCCTCTAGCATGCACTTCTGCAGTGCCTTCCCACTCTGACACTCAGCATGGTGAGGTCACCTGCCTCAGCCAATGGAGTGCTAGCTAAAGAGGGGCCGGCAGAAGCTTGGAAAGGGCTTGCTCACTTTGGGGTGGTCTTGCTCTTGCTCTGTGCTTTTAACCATAAGAAGGACATTTCCCCAGCTAATCTGCTGGTTCCAGAAGGAGATGAAAGACCCAGAGAGCAGAGTGGAGACACCCCAGCCGCTCCAGCAAAATCACATCAGCCACCGGGCAGCCATACCCCAGACATAGAGGCAGCCCAGCTAAGATTGGCAGGGCTGCTCAGCCAAGCTCCCCAGATGTATAGATAAGAGAGGCTTAATACTGAAAGCCACTCAGATTCTGTAGTTGTTACTCTGCATTCTGTGGCAAAAAATAACCGATGCAATTATGATACATGATGATAGAAATATAACAGGCCTCTTCCAGGGCTACTGATGAGATTAAATAAAACAAATGAAGGTCTTACACAGTGAATGGTAGTTGTGATCCACCATCTTCATGACAGGGTGAGGTCATCACTGAGCTGTCTGGAGAGGTCAAGGGAACAGCCTCAATTTCCTATCCTGAGGGAACAACCCATGTTCATGAAGGCAACAGGAGTAGGGCAACCTCCCCGCGCTTGCTCTAGCCCCACAGGTTTCAGCAGCCCTGGGCCCGCTCACAGTCAGGACCCAGAGCTGCAGGCACAGCAGTGTGGGCTGCGACAGCTTCTAGGCCCA